TGCAATTAAGTTACTACCTTTGACAATGCCCTGGAAAGTTAGCCTTTGTTTTAGTGCATAACAACAACAATAAAGGAAAAAACTGTTTAATAAAAATATATAATAGATTATGTTGTTGTGTATCATAGTGTTGGAACCGACTGATAGCTGACCCTCCAGCGGGTATTCAAAGGCAGTTAATCACACAGAGAAGATTGCCCATTCTTCTCTTGTGGAGAAGCTGGTAGCCTCAAACCACGTGCCTTCAGGATTGCAGCAAAGCTTATTGCCATTTTAAATTTTTTATGTTGTTGTTGTTATGTGCTATCGAGTCGTTTGCGACTCATAGTGACCCTATGTACAAGAGCTCTAAATGCTGTTCTATCCTGTGCCAACCTAGCCATGTCAAACGCACTTATTCCCACTGCTCTAGTCACAGAATCAATCCATCTCATCGAAGGTCTTCCTCTCCTTCGCCGCCCCTCCACTCTGTCAAACATGATGTCCCTCTCCAAGGACCAGTCCATCCTTGCAACATGCCCAAAGAATGTCAGACGAAGCTTCAGAATCCTTGACTCCAAGGAGCATTCTGGCTTCACCTTTTATTGGACAAACCTGTTTGTTCTCCTAGCAGTCCATGATATGTTCAACACTCTTCTCCAGCACCAGAGCTCAAAGGCATCAATTCTCTTTCTATCAAACCTATTCACTGTCCAGCCCTCTGATGCATAGCACGTAGTTGTGAAGACTATAGCCCGGATCAGGCACACCTTAGTCTCCAGCCTGACATCGTTGCTCTTCAGTATACTCTTGAGAGGTCCCTCACAGCTGACTTTCCCAATGCAATTCATCTCTTGATTTCCTGGCTACAACTGTTAACTATCTCGATCTCTTCACCATCCATACTGATCCTGCCAATTGGCCCAGTGGTGAGAATCTTTGTTTTCTTGATGTTGAGCTTCAATCCATATAGAAGGCTGCAGTCCTTGATCTTCTGCAGCAAGCGCTTCAGGTCCTCCTCAGTTTCAGCAAGTGGGGTATGTCATTTGCATAACGCAGGTTGTTGATGACCCTTCCACCAATCCTGATGCCACATTCCTCTTCGTACAGCCCAGCGACTTGGATGATCTGTTCTGCACACAGATTGAAAAGGTATGGAGACAGAATATATCCCTGACGGACCACCTTCTTGATTTTGAACCATGTAGTGTTTCCTTGCTCTGTTCTGACGACTGCCTCTTGGTCCAAGTATAGGTTTCCGATTAGCACAATCAAATGTTCTGGGACTCCCATTCTTCTCAGAGTCAGCCACAGCTTGTTGTGATCCACACAGTCAAAGAATAAAATTAGTAAAAATTGAGATGTTAAACACTACATTTGGGGAATAATTTCTTTAAAATAAGTAAGCACTGAATCATTACTTACTTATCCTTTTTGGTGATTTCCATACTGCTGTTAGGCTGGAAGCCATGCTACCAGCATTTCAAATACCCGTGGCGGATTGGTTTCAGCAGAGTTCAGAGACTAAGATAAACTACGTATCAAGACTAACCAGACTAACCATCTGCTTCTGAAATAATGAACCATTGAAAACCCAATGAAGGCAGCCGAGAATTGTCAAATGTACTGTCAAATGATGAATCCCTCAGTCAAGATTATTTTCATCCCTCTTAACTTTCTCTTTCTCTCTCTTTTATTCTATATTTCTTCTATATAAATGGAAGAAATTTGCGGGGGGGGGGATGTCATGGAATTTAATTTCACCGGGATCCGCAACCAAGCAAGGTACTGAAATGGGTAAATCTACTGGCAAGAAGTAAAAAGCAAGGTTATCATTTTAAAGACTGTGATGTACCTGTTCTGACTGATGGTATTTTCAGTGGTTTCATATACATGTGAAAGTTGGAAAAGGAATTATGGTATTCCCAAAGAATAACCAAAATGACAAATCTGTCTGCAGAAGTATAGTCAGAATGCTCCTTAGAAGCAAGAATAGAGACTTAGTCTCATAGTTTTGGACATGTTGTTGTGAGATCTTCAGTCTTCAATTGAAGGGGATCAGGTGTGTTTTTTTTTAAAAAAAAATTTAAACTGAGATTTTTAACAAAAGTTTATAGAGAACTTGGATTTACATTCATTGATTGTTGCACATTTTCCTCCCTAATCCCCTTCCCCCAGTTTACTTTTCTCTTTGAAAAAAAAATTCACTGTTGCACAATTCTTCCCCCCACCCCAGTCCACTTTGCTATGCAGCTCTTATTCTGGACTGTTGCCATGCAAATAATACCTAATAATATATTCCTTTTAAACAATTATTTTCCTCATCTATTTCAATGCAGTTTGCATTGTTTGTACCCTCTTTTCTTAATTTCCCCACAACACTTATGTCAGTCCTGTTTTATAACAGTGGCATTATGCAGTATCTGTCCTTTTGTGACTGAGATCTTTCACTCAGCAAAATGTCCTCCAGGGTCACCCATTTTGTATAATATTTCAAGAGTTCTTTGTTTTTCAGTGCTGCATAGTATTCCATTGTGTGAATATACCACAGCTTCTCTATCCATGCGTTTGTTGATGGACACTTGGGTTGTATCCATATTTTGCTATTGCAAACAATGCAGCAATAAACAGTTGTGCTTTAACCACTGCATTACTAAGATTTATTTTTATAATAATAAAACCAAAACCAAACCTACTGCCATGAAGTCAGTTTGCACTCATAAGACATGTAGGAGAAATGAAGATGCCCAGTAGGATTTCCAGGGCTATAAATCTTCAGACAGTCTCATTTTTGTTCCATTGAGCCATTGGTGGGTCTGAACCACTGATATCTTGGCTAGCTGCCGGATGTTTTAAGCACTGCTAGAGGGAGCTCTGGTGGCCTAGTGGCAAAAAACTGCGTTGCAATCCCAAAGACATGAGGTTTGAATCCACCAGCTGCTCTGCTGAAGGATGGTCAATCTCCTCCCATGCTGTGCTGGAAGGTCAGCCACGGGTCAGTTCTGACTTGGTACACATCACCACCACCACCAGGACTCCTTTCTACAGTTAATATATCTAGATCTAGACCTAACAGCACCATCAGCTCGTCAATTCCAACTCATAGTAACTCTCCATTCAGTTTCTGATGATGCAAATCTTTACAGGAGACAACAGTCCATCTTTCTCCAAACTGCAAACCTTTCTGCTAAAAGTTTAATATGTTATGCATTGTGCCACCAGAGATCCTTTCCTGTGCAATAGGAGGTATGGATATACAATTTTGCCATTACTTTCTAGAGATTTCATTTTTCATTTGTGGTTTAAATATTTATCATTTAAAGGTCTAGAGTAAAACTAAAATAAGCACCAATTTGAATACTGCATAAATAGATTTATTTTTTTCTTTGAAAATATGCAATGCTGTTTCCTGGCATTCTAACTGTTCCCTTGTATACTCTCTTTCTACCTTCTCAACTTTATTTCATAAGTAGTTTCCTATGGATTAATCAGACTTTTTTTTTCTTGTTGTGGTTCTTTGAATAGGATCCTGCTGGCACAGGAAGAAATTGACCCTCCTTCTCCAGGAAAGCATTTGGTGGATTTGAACCACAAGTCTTAAGGATTGCAGTGCAACTTCTTGCCAACCAGGCCACCAGAGCTACCTAATCAGGTTTTTTTTTGTTTGTATAAACACCTATCACAGATATTTTAAAAGGAAGGAAGTGTTATGAATTAATTATCAGTTGAATCACTTATGTTACCTTAGATAGATCTTTAACTTTGGATTAGTTTAGTTTGTAAAGATTCAGCAAAGTAAACTGACCATTTTAAATGCATGCTTCCTCTCTCACTCACGTATTACTTATTTTTTTATATGTGTTCTATTGGACAGTATTTTTCTAAAGAGGTGTCTATTAAGTAGAACTTAATTTGTGAAATTTGAATTCTGGGTCCATGTTAGTCACTAAATATGTAGTAGCATGAAATTCCTTCAGTTACTGTCTGTCATTCTCTTTCCTAATACTATACTGACAGATTGGGGTTTTACCCAGAGGCACCCAAATGACAGAATAGAACATTCTTCTCCATAAAGTTTTCAAAATTGCAATTTATACAGAAACAGATCATAAGATATTTTGCTTATTGAGATGCTGCTGGGTGGATAGGTTGAAACCACCAAATTTTAACTTAGTTAAAATTAACTTAGTTAGCTAAGTACTTATCTACTGAACCACAAATTCTATTTAACACTAAATGAATGTAATAACACAACTGAACTCTGGAAAACATCATCTGGAATAATTAATGATTTTTTAAAAAAACGCCAACAAAGCACTTTAGAAATCCTCGGAATGACTAATGAAAAGACTTGATCCAGACATTCTATGATGTTTGTAAATCATCTTTTCTAGTTCTCCCTCCTTGGATAGAAACATGAGTGAGATTACATGTTGAACAGTGCATTTCTATTCTAGATTCCATTTGAAAAACATGTGAAGGAATATAACATATGCCATATGATATCATAGAAAATGGAACAAAGGGAGATCTGGTGGTCTAGTCCGTAGGGGGTCACACAAAGGTTGTCCATCTATGGTAATTTGAATCCACCACTAGCTTCTCTTCTTTCGTCCTGTGCAATTTACAGCCTCAGAAACCCAAAAGAAGGTCAGTTATAAGTCAGTTCGGATTTGACAGCAATGAGTGATTGACTGAAACAAAGGTTGTTTGTTATTCTGTTTCCCCACAGTGAAAAGTTAGAAATATTTTTTTCTTGACCAGGCCAGGTGGCAAAAAATTATGAATGAAGAGAAATCAATCGAAAGTTTTTAGAATAAGATTCTGAATTGTTTATTAGTATTCATCAGAGATTGAAATGAAATGGCGTTGAAGGAAAATGGTTAAATTGCTCTTAAATTACTGCTACGAATAGAGTGTGAGTGGCTCTGTCAGTAAATAAAGTAATGGAACCGCAATTATTTACTGTTCTATTTTTTACTGTCAGAGGTTTTGTGACATAAACAACCAGAACTTCCTTTTCATAGGTCTTCTGATTCTGGCACAGTGGTATCCTCTGTAGGTTCGGTTGTTATTACTATGGGAATATTCTCAGATATCCATCCTTTAGGAGTCCTATTAAAGGACCGTCTGCTAGAAAGGGGATTAGCAAAGGCCATGAACCTGGGATCTGTTAGCAGCAGTAGCTCAAAATCTGGAACTTTGAATTTAACCATTTTTGATGCTTTTTCAAAGCCTCCAAAAGGGGTGGCGACTCTATGGAAAAGGAAGAAAAAAAGAAATATCCATTACTTTAAAAATTTATTTACCAAGAGGCAGAGAACAATTTCATGCATGATTTTGTGATCATATTGTTGTGTTTAGTATAGTTATTATACTTCTGAGGCAAGTGTGTATTTCTTAAAAAAATTAGAGTAAAGCCCCATTTGAACGGATGTTTAGCTTTGGAGTGAATTAATCTTTTCTCTGTATCCTGAGCTGATCACAAATAATTCTTGTTTCTGTGCTTTCACATGCAATTCCTCTTCTGCTTAAGGTATGTCCTTGACTTCTTTCAGTTATCCCAACCTGTATTTTATGTATCACATTCATATAACAATTGTTTTATATCAGCCACTTTGTGAGCATGAAATATTAATTTCTACCATGAGCTTCTTTTTTTAAGAATATCGTTTTATTTGGATCATCATGAATTATTAACTCTCAGAGGAAGACAATTCTGTCTTTTGCACCTTTATTTCTCCACTTCAAAATTTTTTCTTTGTCTTCTGAATAAAGTCCAACTTCTTTATCTTGGCATTCAAGATCCACCATAACTTTTGGAGCCTGGTTTCATTTATGCATTCATTTATTACTTATTTAACACGAGAGAGAAAATTATATCAATGATAAACTAGAAGACCACTTTCTTGAGTTGAAACATAAAATGAGCTTATAGGAAAAAAAAGGTGATCTTACTAATTTAAAAAAGAAAAATACCACCACAGAATAACCTTCTGACTGCCTTATAGAGAATAATAAAAGCACAATAGTGAAAGCAATAGTGAAAATACAAAGTCCAATTTGAAGGCTGATGTAGTAATTAAAATAAGCTATTCTTATGTTTGGGTGAAGGTTATGATACTGAAGATGTAGGGCAGTGGTTGCAGTTACACCAAACATAAAGCAAACAGGACTTTGCTGATGGTATGGCACAAAAAGCAAACATCCTACTTGCTTATACGAGCAACTTGGAGTATAAAGATGCCCATTTCAAAGATGAGGCAGATTGGAAAAATCAGGAGCTTAATTCAGACATGGCAAGTTGTGTATGCTTATTAGATGTCTTAAAGGCAATGACAGATGGACAGACTGAAATTCAGAGGAAGAGTTAGGATGATAATATAACTGGCAGCATCAACAAGTTGATGCTATTTAAAACCTTGGAACTGTATACCATCATAACCCAGAAAGAGTAAAAGTAGAGAAAGTAGCACTCCAGCACCTAGAGTTTGGAGAAAACCAAGCGATGGTAAATATTTTTAGAGTTTGATATTCTAAAGTCAAATTACAAAAGTTTCTTGAAAGATGAAATGGTAAACCATGCCATACATTGCTGAGAATTTGAGTAAATTGAGTGGTGCATGCAGCCTCAATGGAAATGAATGCAAGACATAATGTGACATTAGGAAATGTAAATGTCTTTTGTCCGCATTGTTAACAGAAGAAAATATAGAAATGGAAGATAATTGAAAGAAGAGTGGTTTTTGTTTTTTTATTTTTGTTTGTTTTTAGAATAAGAGACATTTTAACAGGTTTTAGGAATCCATTAATGTAAGAGGAAACATAATGTAGGGAATAACTGAGATGTTCTAGATTAGATAAAAGGAATGACGATCAGTAAATAATTAGAGGAATTGATTTTAGGAATAAAATGGGAAATTCTATTTGGTGGCAGAAATAGGAAATATGTTTCTTCCAATTTTTTTCCCAGATTCTCGGAAAAACAGCAATGAGAGTAAGAACTGGAATGAGGTATTAGATGTTTGGGAAGAGAAAGGGAGGCATGAAATTGTATTGTAGGAAATTGGACCAAAAAAAAAAAATTGGCTAGAGAATGTTGTTGGATTTCCTGATAGTGCATAGATTTGTAGCCATTAATTTAAAGTGAGACAATGATACTGTGAATTTTCCTTATAATCAGCTCTCAGATAAAGCTCTTTAGTTGATAGCTGGATTCAACCAGAATTGAAGTTTTACTATTTGAGTACATCAATTATAGGGAAGTTATGTACAATGGTAAATGACCATAGTACCTGGAAAGGAATTCTGGTTTGTAGTTAAAGTGCCTGATAAATAAGTGAAAGAGAGGTAGTTTGAACGTACCAGCCATTTCTTGAGAGAAAGGCGTAGTTATAGCCTGTTTCCAAAATTACTGCAGACTCAGAAATGCTATGAGGCAATTTCTCTCTGTTCTATCACTTTGCTCAGAGTCAGAATTGACTCTGTGGCAATAGATTTACAGTGATTTGTGAATTAAACTAATGAATTATTGAAGTAACTAATAGTTAAAAATAAAGATATAAAATGTTGTTATGGTTGTTGTGGTTGTTAAGTATTTGTTGTGGTTATGTGTCATTGAGTCATTTGCGACTCATAGTGACCCTATGTACAAGAGCTCTAAATGCTGTTCTATCCTGTGCCAACCTAGCCATCTCAAATGCACATATTCCCACCACTCCACTCACAGAATCGATCCATCTCATCGAAGGTCTTCCTCTCCTTCGCCGCCCCTCCACTCTGCCAAACATGATGTCCCTCTCCAAGGAACAGTCCCTCCTTGCAGCATGCCCCAAAATTGTCAGATGAAGCTTCAGAATCCTTGACTCCAAGGAGCATTCTGGCTTCACCTTTTATAGGACAAACCTGTTTGTTCTCCTAGCAGTCCATGGTATATTCAACACTCTTCTCCAGCACCAGAGCTCAAAGGCATCAATTCTCTTTTTGTCAACCCTATTCACTGTCCAACTCTCTAATGCATAGCACATAATTGTGAAGACTATAGCCCGGATCAGGCACACCTTAGTCTCCAGCCTAACGTCGTTGCTCTTCAGTACTTTTGAGAGGTCCCTCACAACCGACTTTCCCAATGCAATTCGTCTTTTGATTTCCTGGCTGCTGTTACCAAAAGTGTTGACTGTGGAGCCAAGAAAACTACAACTGTTAACTATCTCAAGTTAAATACCAAGTTAGGTACTACATAAAGCAACCCTATGAACAATAGATCTGAACTCTGTCCTATCCTGTGCCTTCCTTACCATCCTTCACATATTTAAGTTCATTTCCATAGACACTGTATCAGTTCATCTCATTGAGGGTCGTCCTCTCCTTCACTGATCATGGTATCCCTTTCCAAGGAATAGCCTCTTGTAACAACATGTTCAAAATATGTAAGATGAAGCTTCATTATCCTTGTCTCCAAGAAACATTCTGGTTGCACTTTCTCCAAGACATTTCTGGTTTTATTTTTGGGTTTTTTGTTTTTTGTTTTTTCAGTCCATGGGATATTCAGAACTTTTCTCCAACACCACAACTTAAAAGCGTCAATTATTTTCCTGTCATTCTTAGTCACTTTTCGGCTCTCGGATGCATAGCAGGCAGTTGGAAAAACTGTGGCTTGAATCAGGTCCATTTTAGTCTTTAAACTTACAGCATTATACCTCAGGACTTTGGAGAGATCCCTGACAGCAGAGTTTCCCATTGCTATACATCTCCTCCTCTCCTTACTGTACTATGGATCTTGACTGTGAATCAAAGTAAAATGAAACAATTGACAATTTCCGTCTTTATCTATTAAAGAGTATTCTGCTTGAAACTGAGATTTTGGAAGTGGCATATATATAATGACAAATTTTAAAGGTTGATGATAACACACATGGACCTAAGAGGTGGGAATCATAGCAACTATGAAAAGAGATAATGGTGAAACTAAATTTCAATAGTTAGAATAAGGCCAGGGTCAATTGTGTAAAAAAACCCCAATTGCTTATGTGTAAGTTTAAGTTAAAGCAGAAGAAAATTATAACGCCACAAGAGCCAAAGCATGACCTGAAGTATATTCCACCTGAATTTAGGAATTTGATGCATTGAGTACTAATGACTGAAGACCAGATAGACTTGTGGGATAACATCTAGGACATATTACATGAAGAAAGCAAAAAGTCAATAAAAAGTCAGGAAAGAAGTGAAAGACCAAAATGGCTGTCAAAAAAGACTCTGAAATTTTTTCTTGAACATGGAGTAGCTAAAATTAAAAGAAAAAATGATGGAGTAATTTAGCTGAATAGAAGATTTCAAAGGAAATAAAAAGTATTGACTGAAATATGCAAAGACTTGGAGTTAGAAAATCAAAAGGGACGAACATAACATTTCTCAAGTGGAAAGAAGTGAAGAACAGATTTAAGTCTCAAGTTACAGTTCTGAAGTGCTCTGTTGGCAAAATGTTGAACATTGTAGGAAGTATCAAAATAAGATGAAATGAATACATAGTCATTGTACCAAAAAGAACTGGTCAACATGCAATCATTTCAGGAAGTAGCATATCATGAAGAACTGATGATACTGAAGGAAAAGGTCCAGTCATCAGTTATGGACTACATGGTTTAAAATAAATAGAAGTATGAATCAAGGTTATGTTCTTTCACCATACATATTCTAGCTCTAAGCTGAGGAAACTGGATTATATTAAAAATACAGCAAAGGATGAAGATTCATTAATAAATTACCATATGCAGTTGACACAATCTTGTTAGCTGATAGCAGAGAACATGGTTGTTATTTTTAGGTGCTGTTGAGTTGAGTACAACTCAAAGCAACCCTATGAACAAAAGATTTGAACCCTTTTCTATCCTATGCCATCCTCACACTTCCTGACTCACAAGAGCCCGCCCATTGCAGCAGTCACTGTGTCAATCCACCTGGTTGAGGTTCTTCCTCTCCTTCGCCTACTCTCCACCCTTCCTAGTATCAATGTGGAGCACTTACTAATGAAGACCAAAGACTCCAGCCTTTAGGATGGATTACTATTCAACATCTAGAAAGAAAATCCTCTAAAGACCAAGAAGCAACATCATGATAAATGAGATTGAAGTTGTTAAGGATTTCATTTTACTTGGCTCTCCAATCATAGTCCTTTGAAGCAACAGTGAAAAATAATACTTGGTCAAATGTGCTACAGAAGACCTCTTTACAGAGTTAGAAAGCAATACTATCACTAA